CCCCTGCTGGCCTGGTCATTTCTCACTGTGCCCCCTGCCGGCCTGGTCGCCCCACACAGCCTGCTGTTCAGTTATTTGTTCATCCCTCACTAACCCCCCTGCTGGCCTGGTCACCTCCAACTGCCCCCCTCTGCTGACCTGGTCACCCCTAACTGCCTTCCTTCCCCCTGATGGCCTGGTCGCCCCCAACTGCCCCTCCTGAGGGCCTGGTCACCCCACTCTGATCAGTGATTCTCATCATTGATGTTTCTATCTCTCTCTCCCTCTCCCTTCCTCTCTTAAAGCAATCTATAATAATAAAAGCATAATATGCTAATTAGACCGGACATCCTTCCGGACGAAGCCAGGACTGCAAGGGAAGCCCTGGTCCCGGGTGCCAGAGGGAAGCTGGTGCCGGCAGCCAGGGGAAGGAAGGCCTACTCTTGCACGAATTTCGTGCATCGGGCCTCTAGTGAAAATATAAAAGAAAACAAACATAACAGTATTTTCACAAAATGTGGTGGTTGCCTTCCCAGATGAACATGAGTCAGGTCCACACTTTGTCCGTCCACATGGGACTCTGAGGTTTGTTGTCATGGCCTTTTATGTACACAGTTCGGCATCTGCCTGGTTTGCATTTATGTTGTTTACTTTCCTCTGATCTCAACCCTGCAAAGCCCTGAGTCAGGATCTGTGGGTCGTGCGGTGCCCAGGCCCCGCCCCACGGGGAGTGGGAAACGCGCTCACTGTTGACACCGACACCGGCAGACACTTCCCAGCACTGGGCTGGAGCAGGGACGAGGTGATGAGACATCACCTTGCTTAGGAGGGGTTCAGGGGGCTGGGCAGACGCACATACGCAGGTGGTCAGCTGACATTGTGTATCGTGACCCACGTTGTGTGGGCAATGAGACAGGGCTGGGGGTACGGACATCTGGAAGGTGTGGCCCTGGCTCTTACACAGGTGGGCACAGTGATGTGGGAGGCTGGAGCAGGGACGAGGTGATGAGACATCACCTTGCTTAGGAGGGGTTCAGGGGGCTGGGCAGACGCACATACGCAGGTGGTCAGCTGACATTGTGTATCGTGACCCACGTTGTGTGGGCAATGAGACAGGGCTGGGGGTACGGACATCTGGAAGGTGTGGCCCTGGCTCTTACACAGGTGGGCACAGTGATGTGGGAACGAGAACGAGAAAGCTCTGGAAACATCCCTAGGGCA